AAATTAATTCTTTTTATCTACTGTAGAAAGAATAAAAAAAATTTGTTGCTGATATGTACAGAATAAAATTGTGTATAATAATCAATCATTAAATAAGTAAATAACTTTGATTACATCCAAGCTTGGTATTAGGTTAATATTTGCTTTCCCTCCTTACAGTATTAGCAGTTAAAAACAATTCTGGTAACACTTCAATGTCCTGGCATTTATAAGCCAGGATTTTTCTGGCTGTCATTTCAAATTCGCCATTTTATAGCATATAACTTTACTTTAAATTAATATTTTGGCCTAAGACGTTTATATTCTGCAGAAAACAACAGGATTTCTTAAAATAACTCAGATAAATCTATGTAGTTTATGTTATTAATGATTTCAAGAAGCCAGGAAAATGACAACACAAAAACCTACTCACCTTTAAAAAATTTTTGAAATAGATTTTGAATCAGAAAATTGGTTCTTCATTCATGCAACAAGACATGTTCATATAGGAGCGTATCTAATCAATCTATTAACATAAGATATTGATTGCTGGATTTATTTATTTTGGTTATAAACCACTAAATAAAAGTAGCCAGGAAAATGACTGATTTTTTTGAGACAAACAAATTATTGACAAAAAAATTATTTTAAACGAAGTTTTTGTAAATAATACCCTCTGCGTATATTCTAGAAATGCTTACACCGGTTGAGATAAAAAAATAGATATTGAAAAATTTACTGGACGTTTTAAAGCTAGTTATTATTGGAAACATTGTTTGTGACATGCCAGAAACATGAAATTTTGAAGTTCAATTAAATTTTTTAACTATACAAAACAGTCAAAGCTAGTGCAAGGTCATTTCAAAATGCTAACAGCAATGCTATTTATAAATTTTTTTTTAAAAAAAGTTCTTTTAGTATTATAGTATTAGATCTTGGAGTAAGGGACAGTGAATTGTCATATTTCGTGAGAATCACTCATATAACGAGCCTCTGGTCTAAACGAAAAAGGTCTCTATAAAGAGACGTCACTATATGGTAACTACATTAATTAGTACAAATATTTACACAAATACCAGATTTATTTTAACAAAAGCAAACACTTTATATAAAATTATGAAAATAACTATATCAATTAAAAGTATTATTTAATACAGTATATCAAGTAAAAGTATTATTTAATAAAGTACATTAAAAGTTAAAAATATATTTAAATTTTTTTCAAATGACATTTTTAATTATTGTGCATAAAAGTTAGCTAGTCAGTGCTTTTAAGAATGTTAAAATTTTGCTTAACGAGTACGATGTCATGAAACTAAAAGACTTTGTACTTTTGCTTTTAGAAATACATCAGGATTTTTAATTATTGTAAACGGAGTGCTTTTCGAAATCTTAAACATATTATCAATTTGTGTTATTCTTCTATCCAATCCCTTCATAATTTTTTTATTTCAACTCAAAGTATATAACATTACACTGAGCCATTTCTGTTAAATAACAAATGTCCAGAGATAATTGAGCAAAACTAAAATAAAAAAAAAGGATACAAATAATACCACATATTTTAACCCCAAAATTTACCACCTCATACAAAAGAGTGAGTTTCTGTCAAGAGAAATATATGATTGATGAATCTATTGAACTCTTAGGATTATAACTTGTTATGGTTATACAGGAAACTCCCATATCTGAATGACATTGATATATATATCCTTCAAGTTCTCAAAGATGGTAAATAATCCGTATCTCAGGCCGGGATAGCTTGGTTTGGTAGGGCGATGGACTCACTTTCGTGAGAACAGGAGTTCGAAGTGCCACTGACCGGTATGCCCAACATCAATTTTTCCTAAGGTCAAGTGCCACTGGCCAATATGCATTTAAACGGTACTCCGAACACTGATGTTTCTCCTAAACTATCCTCAGCAGACATTAAAATATCGAATAAATAGAATAATATCAAGGAATAAATTCATATCAAATCGAATATAACAAATATTTCGGGTATTTATCAAAGTGACTATGTGATTGTTGACATTCACCAGTGAAAGTCGACATTCTCTTGATTTCGGTCATTCAGGGCAACACATATATTTTTCTTTCTTTATCATTCACTCAATTCATTATTTCCTTGTTTACAGCAGAAAGAACAAAATATTGTACTGTTTTCATGTCCGATCTGCACCAATATAGTTTAAGAATATGTTGGAGCCATGTTTTTTTTGGGTAAGGGCTGTTCGAAAATAAAAATCAAACGATAGAAAATTTTCGATAAGCAAATTCTATATACATTTTCTTTGTGTCAACAAAATTGCCAAGTTTTGTTTAAACACTTCAAATGTCTTACAGCTAGATTTAGAATACCCTTTTCATAGGAATTTGCCGCCTTTCCAATAACCAAGAGGTCACGGCAGTTTTCACGTTTTCGGTTTCCGCCCAAAATGATGTTTAAAATATCGGAAAAGGTGAGAATCGCTCGTCGCAAGATCTGAGATGCAGAGGGGAGGGTCCAAAACTTCTTAGTCAAAAGAGTCCAATAAAGCTCTGATCTGCTGTCATTGCAGTAGCTCCGTAAACTTCAAGAATCTGATGATATTTGTAGCAGAAAGGTTTTTTGCAAACAAAGAAACGGGCGGGAAATTAAAAAATCTTTAAACATTTTAAAGACACAGAACTGACCGCGTACAGGTTACCTACACAGCGTTGTTCCCAAGGAATGCTGGAACACGACACAAGCACTCATTGCTACTCTCGCGCCACCTAAATGCAAAACGGTTCTTACTTAAGGAACACGCCTTGTATGTATATATTGCACAAGAAGAAAATTAACATTACAACAGAATATTAATCTTAAAAAATACACCAATAACGTTGATATTCAACAATGCCAATTTAATTAGTAAGCGTCATGTTTTTTTTTAAATTATTTTTTAATTGAAGGACATCTGTTTTGTCTCCTTTAGTTTTTGTTTGAAAAGAAATCAACAAAAGTCTGAAATCTTATTGCAGAATATTAGGCCTAAGTCTGTGTGTCTATCTTCACAATCTTCTTTCCTCATAGTAGCACCTGAAAACTCTTCCACACTATTTAATGTAAAGTGTTGCGAAAATGTAAGTGAAATGTTTACAGCAAAATAATCACTTAAAACTCGTGGCTAAAAAAAAAAATATTAATTACCAACGATAAAAATACCAGAAGTTCTATTATAGATGAAATTTTTTTTTTAAATGTTGATTCATCTATTCATTACCTGTTGTAAGTTAAGAAGAAACTAATATTCCTATGGAGAGAGCCTGTTTGCATCTAAGTACACGCTAAAATGGATGCCAAGATCCCAGCCTATACGAATATCAAAATCGTCAACTCTTGAATCTTAAATCGTGTACAATGAGGAAATTAAAACTTATTAAATAAAATCTATTGCTTTTCCCCTGTAAAATTAAAGAATTGCATAATAATAGAATTTTACAGGCATTATTTTTCTAAGAATGTATCAGAAAGTGCATTTGAATAAATAAAAATTGCTATTCTTTACACATGGAATATCTTTTGCAGACAATTATTTTCTACAGCGAAATAAAAGTAAAAATTCTTTATCCTGCATTTGATTTGTTAAGAGCATGTCAGCATAAGATGCACTAGTTTTAGTTGTCCAATCAAATACAATGCTCTTGCAACGTCATACAGTTTTTTTCCTTTCCTTTTCAAAAACGAATACTCTCTTTATTTATCGAAACATCTCGCCAACTCAAGGATTCCAGTAAGACTACAAAACTATAACCCTTTTTTAATAATTCTATGGTATATATTGTAAAAGTTGGCATGAATTAAATTTCCTTTTGACATGTTTAACTTTTAAATTGTTTTGAAATGCATATTTGTATAATTTTTTAACGAAATAAAACCGCACTATATGCAGTTGCAGATGATTATTTAAATCATAAGCTGCAATGATCTTTTCTCAACTTGCAACAGAATCTAGTTTCCACAAAAAGAAAATGTTATTTCTCTAAGATGAGATGAAGAGAATATTGAGAGAAAAATTCACAAGATTAATTTATTTGGAACACTTTTGAACTCTATACTCATGTCATTGAAATGCATTACTTATTCTAGCCTTTTAAAATCATTTAAATATTAAAATTCAAACCGCATAACAAATAATAATAAATAAGTAAAAAATACTTTTAACGACTGTTAAACATCAAGTTATATGATATTTTAAATTATCTATCATATTTTTTGTTCGTTCGTTGTAGTGGAACTGGGCATCTGAGGCCTTATGGCCCTTTTCCCATTCATCCTGAAATTAAACTAAGAAACATACATGACAAAATTAATGATTGGGGAGCAAATAAATCTATCATATTTTTATCTTTCATTAATAGTTTTAAGTTTAAACAATCCATTTTCATTGAAATTTCCTACATTAGTGGCAATTTATTACACAAAAATCCCTTATGCATGAAAAATTGCCACAAAATGGATTTTTTATGTCATAAAAAGAGGCCAGAGATTTTCTTTGGTCCTTCCTTCAATTGGAATTTTATTAATTATGTTTAAAAGGATTGAAAATAAATTATATTTATAAAAACCTCCGGTAAAAAAAAATTTTATGTGATAAAATATCATTTAAATTGTGCGACTATAAAAGACTCAGGGGTGTAAGGGAGAGTCTTAACACTAAAGGAGAGTCTTACTCATTTTTTTAACAAAAAATCTTTAAAAATAACGGAATTTTTAACATAATCAAAACTCCAAATAGCATTTACAGCTTCCCAGCTATACCACTAAAGTAATAGGTTTCGCAGCTGTTTCCACAATAATAATACAGAAACTTGCCTTATTTCATTTTAGAAGAAAAGGTTCTAAGAAAGGTTTTCATTTTATGTCCTAAGAAAGAAAAAAATTATTTCAAAATTCTAAGGTTTCACATAAGTGCCACGTTCAAGATTTTTATGTATCACAAACATGGGACTTGGTGTATGGTTTTGTTGCTTTCTCAATAAATACAAGACTCCAGTTTTTTTTTTTGACTAATTTTTTTAATAAGTAATAAACCTTTTTTTGGCAGTAATTGCATTAGTTCGTTTCAATCTATAATACAACACTTAAAAGAAACATCCACTATGTACAAGACACATAAACTTAAAAAAAAATTAAAAACAAGAATAAATAACAAATACACTATTCATACATATATATATATATATCATATATGTATATAAGTCATATATATATATATCATTCCTGATGATACAGTTTAATAAGTTGATTCAGTGAAGATTTATAACCAGTGATTGGGCATTCACGATTGACTTCCACATACTTGAATATACAAGGATAGCAGAAAACAAATCTACAAAAAAGAAAAATACATTAATTTTGTATATTTGCATTAACATGTGCAATTTAAAAAACAGTCATAACTTAATTATGGATAAACAGCATGACAATGATTGAGCTATATAAAATCATAATATAAAATTATGCATAGCAGAGTATATCACTATACTGTGTTATGCATAATATTTCTATAAACAAGCTATGCTTGTCTATAGAAAGAACTCCCCTCACCATGTCGTCTAAGGCTGGCTGCAAGGGAAACAAGAAATAGCGCATTTCAAAGTGGGGAGCTTCTTTTTCCCCTGATCCCCTTTCTGAGTCAAAACCTGTCTTAAATATTGACCCACTACTTGAAATTGTTAAACCTCCTAACTATATTAACCACCACCACTCCAAACGAATGGCTAGGGGAGTTCTTTACAGAGACAAACTACACAAGTGTCTGCACACTGACACTCGCATTCTCCTATGCATAATGTTTAGCTGAATTTAAAATCTTTCGTTTATCAGTAACAAGTAAATGTGGTTTAAATGTTTCAGCAGGTTTTAATGGTGAGTGGGATTTTTATTTATTTTTTCAGCAGTCATCGTGAAGCTTGAAATGTTCAGATTTTATCTGAAATTTAATTCTTTCCTCCTTGCTTGCATTAATCTTCGACGCAAAGTAATTTTGAACTATCAGACGTTACTCAAATTTAGATAAATCATGATATATTTTTTTGCACTCATCATTAGTGAAAATAATGCAAGATAAGTAGCAGAATCAACAAAGGTTTGCTTATTAAACATCCATTTCAGCAAAAATAGTAGTATATATATATTTCTTTTTAAGAAAATGAAACAAACCAACAAGGATGTGTTCGATTCTACTAAAAAATAAGCCTCAATTAGAAATTTTTAAAATAATTTTATTAAGAATACATGATCCCCGAACTAGTCTTTCAAACTATCGTAAGAATGGAAAAAAAATTTATTTTAAAGAAAGGTATTATGTTTACGTCGTCCTAGCGATGCACAATGGACTATTGGCGACGGCCTAAGAAACGTCCCCAAAGATTGTCTGAAGACATGAAATCACAATTTTGATTCTCTGCATAGGGGANACACGACAGGCTCGCACCACAGTTTTAATGTAACTGTGGTGCGAGCGTTGGTGCGTCATTCGACCAGTTGAGCGAGTAATGGTGACGTCATTCGACCAGTTCTAGCTCTGCAGGTTCGGTGACGTCAGCACTATACCACAAGAGCGCGGGGAAAAGAAACACCGTTCTCGATTGGGAGAAGGAGCTGACGTGAAAGGGGCGGGGAATAGGATTACGTGACGTCATCTTAAGAAAAATGTGAAAATTAGCTACTGGGTTTACTTTCCGGGTAAAATGTATATCTTTGCGGAGTGCCCGGAGTACACTGGAATTTCCGGAGATGCTCCGGAAATTCCGGGGTTGTTAGCGGGTATGTGATCCCCGAACTATTCTTTCAAACTATCGTAAGAATGGAAAAAATATTAATTTTAAAGAAAGGTATTATGTTTACGTCGTCCTAGCGATGCACAATGGACTATTGGCGACGGCCTAAGAAACGTCCCCAAAGATTGTCTGAAGACATGAAATCACAATTTTGATTCTCTGCATAGGGGATGGTTCCTCCACTGGTTCAACGACCTGGGTGCAAAGTCGAGCACTTTACAGTAGAACAGTTTAACAAGGACCAATATCGTGCACCCTCGATTCCGTCATAGCCTGATCAAAGTGGTCACCCACCCGCTTACTGACCACAGCCAGTGATACTTGACTTTGGTGCTCTACAGGGCACCATGTCTTTATGATCAGTTCACTGAAGGACAATTAATTTTAAGAAAAACAAAATAAGATAGAGATCAATGTATGATTGTAGCAAGCTGCGTAAAAATAAAAATCTAAGCAAAATATGATTTTTAAAATTCCTTCAAAGTTATAGCAGCATTGCTCAAGAAGTTTCTATTACAAATAGATGATAATAAATATTTAAACTACATAAAACGTTAACTTATAAATATGACAAAAATCAAAAATAAAACAACATACCCACTGCTAGCCAATGCGGTATCATTAGACCTGCTCTTTTTGCATATAAAACAAATATCTACAGGAATATCACAGGGCCACTGAAATACAAGAAACAGATGTTTAATAATGACAAAAACAATCTTTACAATAAAGAGTTTTAACATCTGCAAAAAAAATATTAAAAGAAAATAATTTTCGGCAACTAGTCTGGCCACAGTCAATACTTTTTACAATTTTGGAAGGAAATTTTTTTTTATTATTAGAAGTTTCATGCTATACCATTTCAATTTTGATTAAATAAATTTGATTTACAATGATTGTGACTACTTCCAAACATGTGCAGGGGATAGAGCGTTTGCATTCTAATGAGGTGAACCGGGTTCGAATCCCAGCGATGACAGGTCGCTACAAATTCCGCATCTGGCTTGCACCAACCACAGAGTTGACGTAAAATATCCTCAAAGGGGTCATGGGATAGAGTCCCCTAGTCGCTAAGCTAACCGTGGGAGGTTTTCCTCTCCAAGTAATGCAAATGCGGATACGTTTCATCAAAAAAGTCCTCCACGAAGGCAAATTTCTCCCAATGCTTGATCCAGGAACTTCCTTGTCTTCTATATTTGGTTCGAAACTACAAGGCGACGCAGATGAACATCAGTAGTCATAAACCCAAAACTAGGGCTGGTTGTTCAACGACGATTATGAATTATAAATACCTCTGAACATAAACGATTTAAACAAATATATAAGACTTGAGGACTGTTTGGTGAAACTTTTAAGTGATGGTAAATTTAAACAAACTAAACTTAACTGTTATTTCCCCACTACCTAAAATATTCTGGGAAGCTTAGGATTTCTGGGATGGAAATTTGTAAAGAGAGCTGTATTTTTAGGAAATATCAACCCTTGACTGTAACGTAATTTACAGAGGTGTCGGGAAAGTATATACCATTTTAGAAAAACTCATGAAACAAATGCTTTTTCAAAACAAGATTTAATATTACATGATATTTCAAAACTATTTTTCCACATAGTTCAGACATTTGATATAGAGAGAAATAAACTTGTCTATAATACCATTTTTTAAAAAATAAATAAATAAAAATGGCATCAGTAGAGTCAGCCACTTCCTAAGATCTGAATGTGAGCTAACATTTGATAACCATGGAAATGCATCAAAAACCATTCTTATTGTGAACTGCCTGTCTTCATTCTCTGAATTTTTTAAACAAACCCTCACAGACAACTAAAAGTTGTCAACACTATATTTCATTTGCTACATTAAATGTCATCAGCATGAATTCAATAATATTTAGAATGATATTTACCTGCAAATATATTTATCCCTTATACAATGGTTTTCACTAATAATATGATCACTTCCCAATAACAATTATCATCCCTTTCTAATGTTATTCTTGGTTATTATTATGCTTTTGATTATTATTTAAAATTTAAAAATTATCACTAAAAGTGGTTTTCCTTTATTATCAGGGTCCGCACGCTGATCATTCGCCACTTCACCAAATGCGATCCTCAAAATTACGTCAAAATGAATTTTTCTAAGCAAAACAATATTTTTTATTCGACTACAATAATTTTCGGTAGATGTGCTGCATAACCAATTAGAATTGGGTAAAAATAATACAAGCCTGAAACAAATTACCGTAAAATAGGTTTTATGCGAGAAAAATTAATCAAAAATTTTTTTTTAAGATTTGCATTTGGCGAAAAATTTTGATATTTCTGTATTTACTGGATAATAATTTTAAATCATTTGTGTCGGCCCCGATTATATTATAGAGAAATCATGAGATATTACATAATTATGCAACATTTTATGATAAAGGTACAATTTTATAGCTTTTAAACAGTACATAAGTTATATTTACTTTAGTAATATATTTTATATAAAACTCAAGTGTTCAGTTAACATATGATTACAAAATAACAATTTAAAATTCTCAAAGATTATTAGGAGTTTACTTTTCCCACTGTTGCTACATAATCTTTTTTTAAAAAATAAGAAGAAAAAAAATATTTAAGAAGTTCCATAGTAACCAAAAATTATATAAAAATGTAAGAAACAATATTGTGGACAAAGATGTAAATGGATCGAAAAGGATTTGGTTTTAAATTTTATCTCAATAAAATCAGAAACTAAATCTGTATAACAGGGTTGCCACAAAAAAAAATTAGCAATATAGTTGCTTTTAGCTGCCTAAAGCATGAAAATAGTTGCCTGAATAAGAACAATAATATGACTAAAATTTTACTAAATGACTTGATTGTCATAGACCATGATCCATTCAGTCAAGTTGGTGGCAAATATGATAATTTTTATACAAAAAAAATTAGTATATTTGCAGAAAATTAAATACTTTTAATCACTAGAAATCATTCAAAGAAAATATTTTTTTCATTAAAAAAAACTTACTTTTTCTAAAAAACTTTCAGTTTAACCTATAATTGATTTAGTTAATATATATATTGTGAAAAGTGATCATTCAAATACGAAATTCACGCATCATAATATCGTATTAAAAACTGCTTTTTTTAAAATCATGCAGAATTTCATAGCAATAACCGTTGCAAAGGCGATTGCGAAACAAAATAGATTCACAATGGAATCCGTGCAAATTAAGCGCGTCAAAAAGTGATGACTCAAATTTGCAATTCAACATTTTCTTATTTTTTAAGAAGAAAAAAATCATTATGTTCAGAAGCTACCATGGGGTGCAGGTTGTCAACCCAATTTAAGCTAAAAAAACATCACTAAGAGCACAGAAAAGTCTCCCAATAGTCACCTTTTCCTGAAAATAGTTGCTTTTTTAGCTTTTCAGGCAAAAAAAAGTTGCCATGGTCGCCTGATGTCGAAAATAGTTGCAAATAGTCGCATTTTAATCGTCTGTAGCAACCCTGTATATTACACAAATATTTTTCTTTTGTTGATAAAAATTAACATAAATGAAAGAGCTGAAAAAGGATTAAAAATATAATTAAGGTTTGAATGGTAACTTACTTTCTTAGGAGGTGGAGGCACAGGGAGAGGGGTGAGGTTTGTAGTATTGCCCTCTCGACTGTACCACCAGTTCAAAAACTGTGTGAGGAATGATCCAACAGATATAGAAAGAGTGATACCACCAATGAAAACATTAACTAGATTCCAAATGGTGTTCGAAAGCTTCCTGAAAAGAAATATTTCAATAAAGTTATATACATTACAATACTATCTAAAATGTACGTATGTTTATATATATATATATATATATTACATTACTATGTAATAAAATTAGTGGAAAACCCCTGATTGTTTTGAGCTTTTTTTCAAAAAGTACAAAAACTACTTAAAAAATAGCATGAAAGTTTTTACATTAATATTTAAATCAGATTTTTTTCATTAGTTGCCAAATGCAATTTATAACAAATTTATGAAAAAATAACTAAAAAAATTTTTTTGCGTGTGTGTAGTACAAATTAATTACTTTAAATACTCATTATTTTGCATATTTTAAATTTTTTTTCAAATTTCTAAACAATAATTTTGTAATTAATCTTAAATTGCCTCAAAAATTTTATTTAATTTTACTGAATATTTTTAAAACTATAGCAAAAATTATTGAGACAAAAAAATAAGTTTTTTTATAAAAATGTTCACAACTCCATAACTATTAAAGCAGGATTTGCAAAATTTTATGCAGTTATCGCAAATAACAACCAAATTAATTTATAAAAATTGCAAGATTATATTGCTTGATTTTCTAGCCTAGAGTGTTCAAAAATACTTGTTTTCTTTCATAATTAATTGTCAGTCTCTCACACCTCTGAAAGCTTTAAACTTTATTGCAAAGTGTGAAAAATTGCCTGAACTAACAATTTCTAGTTACAAAATAATCCTCTAAATATTTCATAAAAATAAAAAAAAACTGAAAGAGTTTTTTTTCATAATTGTTGGGTGGTGTATAATAAGTAAAACTAAAATTAGAAACCTAAACTTTTGATAGATTTCATTAATAAATTATTCGGCATACAATTTACAAGTTGTGAATTCCCCTCGTATTTTAACAGATCAGAATCCGTAAATAAGTAGTTATTCAGTGAAAGTTCATCATAAATCCCAATTAATCTTTTGCATGACTTAACTTTAATATTTAGTTGTTTTTTTTTTTAACCATTCAAGCTGCATATTAGTCCATTTTTAAACATAATATGTATTCCAATCATTAGGTCAAAAGTTAATGCAATTTTTTTCTTCATTGTACATTTTTAAACACTTATTAAGAAAAAAAAATTTATTTAAAAAACTTGTTTCGATTTTATGAATATTAAGCTATAAATTTTGAATAAGTAATAAAATACTTAATCAAGTGCCTTGATAAAAAAAAGAAAAGAAAATCTCTAATTATCTCTAAACAAAAATTTTGAAAAAAAAAAATCTGTTGTAGGAATCAAAAAGGATTTCACCCTTTTAGCCAAATTTGACCACTATCTAATATTCAAAAGCAGAATATCAATTTGCTAATGTGCACAGTAAGCAAAAAAAAGTTCAAATAAATTGCTGGTCATACTTATGTTGTTCTTTTGGAATGTGTTGCTTCCATGCATCATCAGACAAATCAATCATTGTGAGATGCGTTAGTGTTGTTGAGGTCAAATGCATGAGTGGTGAATGGTAACTTGATTTTCCCAAAGCATACGCTAAGTAGTAGCAAAGAACTGACGTCTCGGAAAGAAAATGGTACACAGGATACACTTTCAGATACAGAAGAGCCAATTTATTTTTAGTTCCCTAGTAAATTAGTAGAAGATTAAATTCTTTAAGAAGACAGTCAAACATGCATAAGAAGTACTGGAAAGAAAGCCTTAAACCTTTTGTGATATAAAAATTGCAATATAATATTTTAGTACAAATAATACCCGTGTTGCTTTAAAAATTAAAAAGCATTTCCATATTTACTTTAGATAACATTTAATTCAAACTCAAACGTCATATAATTTTTGATTTTTCATTTGAATTTATAATTCGCTGAAATCTTTTTATTTGATCATTTAACTCATCTAATATATCTCTGAATGATATAGACTTTATTAATGTTTCTGATCTTTCCCAATTATAATGTTATGCAGGAATATTGTTTACAGTAACTACTTTCATAACTATTAGTATACTTTAGATTTATTAAATTAGCATTCTTCGTTTGAATTTATATTTTGCTGAAGCCTTTCTGTTTGATCATTTAACTTATCTAATAAATCTCTCAGTGATAGAGACTTAATTAATATTTCTAATATTTCCCAATCACCATGTAGTACTGCAATATTGTTTACAGTAACAGCTTTCTCATAAGTACCAGTATATCTTAGATTTATTAAATTAGCAAGTTTCATTCGATGTCATGAGCAGATCATATTTTAACACAGATAAATAAAAGGATACATAACTTCTTGGTATCAATATAAGTATGAAAGTAAAAAGAATAGGCATTACAACTTGTCTTATCAACTTGGTTATGGTGTCATTCAAATTTGTCAGCATAAATAATTTGTAGGAAATAATATACCTCATTAGTCTATATAGTAGTCTTTATGTTTTTCCCACTTTTGTTAAGAAAATCAAAAGTGGTAGCTTAAGTTCACCTTGTGAGTGGGGAAAATTTTTAGGTTTCTAGATTGTAGATGAATAATTTTTTTTTAAACAACTAACGTATAACCCTAATTGTTTAGAAAGTTATTGACAAGACTAGTTCTGTGACACGGAAACTAGCCTAGGAAACTAACTAAAGAAAGCATAATTTTTAAATTCATACCTGTATGAAAGTTGAGTCTGAATTTCAAGTGCTTTTTTGCAATTCTTTTTCTTTAAATAATAAATATTTATTCATTGTGGTAGAAAAAATAATCATTCTTGCAATTTTCATTTTATAAGACTCAATCAAAGTTAATTCCCTTGATGACAAAAGACAATAAAAAACGAATAAATAAAAAACAAGAGAGAAATTAAATGTTGTCAGATATTATATCTTAAAAATTATACGAAAATTTTTAAAAATAAATAGATTGAAGAGAAATAAGAACTGTTTTCAATGCTTACTGTTATATGATATGAGGTTATTGTTACATATTATTAACAAATAAAATTAATTCTTGTATCACAGTTTCTGCATTTCTAAGTTTAAATTTTTATTTTTAAGTACAGTTCATTAATTTTCAAATCCAAGTATCCTTCTATTTTTTTTTTGTTAACACTGAGATATTAATAAAATGCACTAATAAAATCAAAGTGATTTTACCGCTGACAAATTATTGATAGAGACATCATAAATATTGACCTCTGATAAATTATGTAAGATATTTTAAATTCAAATGTTAAAATTTCTTAGTAAGTCATTCTATAAAAAAAAATTTATAATTTTTATGGACTTTTATAAAATAGAGAAAAACAGTTTATGTTCAGTTGATTCTGAGAAAAAATGAACTTGCCATCGAAAGCAACTGTTTACCATAATGCAGTCCCATCTTCACTGAGTAATAATTCTCCGAGAAGTGAGGGTACTGATTTTCCAAAATTCCGTCCTCAGAGTGCAACAGATGGCACTCGAATTAAATTTTTGGAACAAATAGACATAAACGGTTCCTCCTCCTTGATATTCAATGATGGAGGTTTGTGAGTTACCATTTGAACTGGTGAGTGCAATGAACAAAGGACGGAGCCGCCTAGTCGTGAAAAATACATATTTGTCTTCTGGCAGAAAAATGTCAGATTCATTATCATAAGAAGATATGATTTCATAAAAATGATGAAAAGGAACACTTTTAATATGCTGAGGAATGGGATTCAGATATTAGAAGTTTTGTGTAATGGAGCATTGGAAAATCAGAGAACTCTAATGAAATGTAGTAGAAGGAAAAGAATGAAGAGAGAAAACTCACTTTTGAAGCGAGGCTTCCACGGGAATGATCATCACGCATATTCTTATAGACTTCTTCCAGTTGCCTTTGCAAGTAAGGATAAACTACAGCACATATTACCCACAATGCCACTTTTCTCCTTGAAACATTCAGGGAACGGGGATCTGGGATTCTTTTTAAGCTGTAAAAGGTCTCAGTGAATAATCCTCCTACAGAAGAATAAGAATGATTAGTATGATATTAATAGCAATTGCATCAAAATTAAAATATTAGACTAAAAAGAAATGAACAGGAAAACTGCTTTTGTACAAGTGCTTGGTTGAAATAAGCTTATTTATAAAGTTTGAAAGATATAACAGTAAAAAATGAATAACAGACTGCATAAGCATATTTTATTTTAAATATAAGAGCTAGAAAATTAAATCATTAATATAGGTATACTTTAACCTTTTGTAGTCTTATATTAGACTGAGTCTGACTTCATAAATCAGCCATTCACTAGTGTCTGACACAGGACTATGTCATTTTAATTTGCAATATAAAATGAGTCATATAGTTATTTACTATTTCTGTTTTAGTCAAAATGAACCTTTTTCATTGAGAAAATAATCAGACCAGGAGAGAAAATCATTTTTCAATTATTTTATTAAGCTTCCTTCACCCATTTTTTGGGTAGTTTTTAATCTTCTTCTTTTTTGTGGAAAATTAGATAGTCAATGTGGCGTTACGTATGTATTTGTGTGTACGGTGATAAATGTGATGCAATGATTTGGAGAGTGGGATAAGCAAAGGTTTGGACTTTATAGTTTCACACCTTTTTCATTTATTTTTCTTTCAGATTTAACTGTAATTGCATGGAATAAATTTATGTCACTACACTAATGCTTCTTTTAAGGTAAAATAATTGCCCATATTGATTAGTATTGGGTTTTCATATTAACTTTGACACAATTCTTCATATGTTTACTTTAAGTCCCCTCGGAATTCACTGAGCCAAGGTAAAAGATTTCTTTAAAATATCTATGTACATTGTCTAGATAAAACGAAAACGCTTAAATTAATTTTGAGGTGATGCACAAAATCTTAGTATGTGGATAATGTTTTATAATTGAGGTATCTTGATCTGAACAGTGCATGGGAATGTTGAATTTGCTGGTTTATGAAAGACTTGTTGCGTTTGAAAAGATGCCAGTGGAATCAATTTAAAAAAAAAAAAGCATTCATTATTGCAGTTCGTCTGCTAAAAGGATAATTTAAGAGAGGCATGATTTTAAGGTATTTTGATGGAACGAAGTAGGATACATGTCTTATAAGTGAGTAACTTCACTGTGTTTATACTTTAAATGTTTACTACTGTTTTTTTATGATATGCATTCATAGTATCGTTAAATAATAGAGTTGCATAAATATATGGCATTATTTTTATGAAACTAGCAGCAGAGTGGTAACAAAACATGGTTCACATTGTAAAATAATAGTCTTGAGTCTGTACTATGTTTTAATGAAATTTGCAGTAGAATGGTAATATTAATTAACATTTAATATAGATCTGCTATTTTTTAATTTTTGAAGTGAATATTTATTGTTTAATAATGGTGTTTTATGCATTTATTGTTATTTTTTGATGAAATTTACAGCAGAGTGATAATTAAATAGTTGCCTATGGTTGATATAGATTTGCTGATTTCTTATTTATGAAAAACGTATTTTGCGTAAAAAAATGACATTAATGAGAGTGAACTTATTAATCTAACCCTATTAAATTATAGGGATTCAATATTTGATTTTGCTTTCAATATGTGACAAAAGTTAATGAAAATGCACCAAAACAAGACAAAAATCTGAAATTATCATGCGCAAGCCATGAGTCAATTATATTTTTTTAATATTTTTGCAATTACAAAAGAAAAATAGTAAAAAATAAAGTTTAAAAAAATAAAATGGCTTGTTAAATTGCTTTTTTTTCTTCAGATTTATACAGATTATGGAAATATATTTCTATGAAGGAGAGGAAGTTCATTACAAGTGGCAGCAGATCTTTGGCGCCTTGGTAATTGGGGTTAGTGTATATTGATATCGATATGGGAATATTCCCAAATTACTTATCAATTATTAGTATCATATAATTCTCAAAATATATACTGTAGGTTTTTCTAAATTAAATTTTACAAAGACTAGCTTTTTAATGGGGATTTTTAAGTCATGTCAACTATAATCGCCAAGGCTCGAAATAACATTAAAGGTGCAATATTTTTTAAAATCAAAAACACGAGGCTACAAACTATACCCTTCAAGGAGGTCCCCTACTGTGATTTTTTTCAGATTTTTTGTAGGCTTTTACCCGAAAGTTGCGAAGATTTGTTAATTATTTCGTCACAGAAAGGATTAAGGAATTTTTTCTCTTTTTAAACTAAAAATGCAGATGCTGAAATATTAATTAAACAAAGACTTTTAAAAATTCCGATGAACTAAACCATATCTCTGTATCAGTAACCGAGACAAAATGGTTGCCAAGGTTTGCAATAGTACATCCATCAAGAACGGAAAAATATGCATCAAAACTGGGTATTCAAAGGGTCATTTTACTAGCCACCTCAGGTCAAGTCACTTGTATAAATTTCACGTACAAGAACCAGGCAGTTTGATTTGATGCAAAAAGGTTACAATATAAAAATATCCCCGTCACTTATTAAATTATAACAACATTCCAAAATAGTATATTACAGCTGAAAAGCCAACTTTATGTTTTCATAACTCAATTCAAATGGAATATCAACTCAATTGGAAAGAAAAATATCATCAAAACAAAACACGCTGGAATAAATACAAATTGAGTAATTTTTCCCCAACTGCACACTAAATCAAATAAACTCGTCTTACCAGACATATCAACAACCATTAAAATTTATTTGTAAAGCTAATAAAATAGTGTGCATGACTATTTCGCATTTATAACAGTTTAATCATTAAGTTTCATATTTAATCAATTAAGTATTTTGGATTCATTACTAACATTTGATTTGTAAAAATTAAAGAAATGATTTAAGTAAAATGACAAAAACTAACCTTTTAACCGAAGATGGAGATATTGAAATATTGAATCAACTAAGACGTATAATTCATCGAAGTTCCGATAAATTAAGCCATATCTCATAGGGTTGTTTTCTGCTAACACCTAAAAAAAGAATATAAATCAAACAGAAAAAAATCTGCAATATATCTTTTTAGAAAAAACTGTTTTTACCTTAAAGAGATGTAGAAAAGCAGCTCTCAGAGATGATGCTAAATTATCATGGCCAATTACTTCAAAAATTGAAGGTTTCGAAAAATTCGATATAACATGATGGATACCGTACTCAGCCATTGTAATATTAATTGAGTTATGAAGAATGACAGGCAATCATAATTAAATATAATACAGAGAATATAGTTTTACTATAAAACTTGTCTAATACACCGTGGAAAAATTGTCCCAAACTTAATATTTCGTCTGCTTATTTACATCAAGCATATTGCCAACTTGAAATAATTAATTTTGAAACGCCAACTCAGCACTATGTAGTGAGTTGTTTCAATTTAACTGTAAACTGATAAGGTATAACAATCTGGCAATGAATGAATGATTACGCTATACTGATTTAGTTAATAGGGATTCATAAGCGGAAATGTTGTGTTTCTTTTGAAAATGGCAACAAAAAACAAGGTTTGCTGTAATTCGGAGGTTTATCACTCGACTGGCGTCAAATTAAAGAATGTCAAAATCAATATTTGTTGCTCAGTCGAATAAATGCTTGCATACAGTTCTAGTATTCTTTTATTTATAGTTCTATTCAGTGTTTTGGTGAGCCCTCAATTTAAATATTTTTATGTAACAAATTGCAATATTATGAGTAACATTTTACAATTATTTCTAAAATATATAACGAAAATATAAACGTAAAATGAATCAGTGAGTACACTTTTTTCATATTTGAAATATATAAAGTCCCCATTAGATTTTTCTGGAACCTACATATTTGGGTGTCATGAATTAATATGTGAGAGGGGTGAGAAAGTAAATAAGAAAGTAACATTTTTATCAAAACCTAAGGAATAGGGTTGGTATGATGATCTTCAAAACATCTTCAGTTAAAAAAAATTTAAGTGTATATTACTATAATTTTAAACTGCAATTAATAACGCGTCGGTACCATGTCAAAACTAAAGAGTTTGCTCAGCTACTCAGTCAATTGTCAGACACGTTCATATAGCACAATATTAACAAACTAAAAGATTTTATTAAAAAATTTTTTAAACTAAGTGTAATAATTTTCACTGGTCATTATTACTTCCATCAAATATTTTTTAGTATGGTAACGTAAATTTCTGTTACAATTGAAAAAAAAAGTTCAGATGTCCACCTGANCATATATATATATATATATATACATTTTTATTAAAAAATTAAGAAGTTTAGATAATTTTTGATGAATTCTAAAATAATTTCGTGATTATGACATTTATGTATTTGTAATTGATATCTTCAAAACATTTTCAGTTAAAAAAATTTAAATGTATATTACTATAATTTCAAACTGCAATTAATAACGCGTCGGCACCATGTCAAAACTAAAGAGTTTGCTCTGCTACTCAGTCAATTATCAGACACGTTCATATAGCACAATATTAACAAACTAAAAGATTTTATTAAAATAATTTTTTAACTAAGTGTAATAATTTTCACTGGTCATTATTACTTCCATCAAATATTTTTTAGTATGGTAGCATAAATTTCTGTTACAATTGAAAAAAAAAGTTCAGATGTCCACCTGAATGCAATCATTTGTATGTTTTTTCAAACGTAATTTCAATAATTTAAAAATTACTGTCTCTTACTATCAAAACCATTATTATTTTGGTTGAGCTGGAAAATAACAGTTGTAGCAATTTTATAGAAATCTTTTTTTTATTTATTTTATTTTTTTCACTTCAAGCTTTAACGAAGAGCGAGCCTATATAAAATAAAATTCTTAAGAAAGAAGCTTCCTGTTACTCATTACGGCTATATATACATATGGTCAGTAATTGAAAAAAAAGTGACTTAAATAAAAAGAAACTTGTTTCATTTTGGGGAATGCGATTTCTTGCGTGTAAAAAAAATTGAAAATCAACTCTCAATTTCAGCAGTATCAATCAGGTAAGTTAGAAAGAAAGTATGATTAGCATAAAAAACTGAATGAATTCTGGACATTCACAGGCTTAGATTATTTTTTATTCGTTTTTGAAATTTCTTAAATTTAAATTTTGAAAAACTCTTTTACAGATTTTTTTTACGAGCTAAAAGTGTTCTGAAAATGCAAAAAAGAAAAACTAAATTTTGGAAAAATTCAGTTACCTATGCCACAAAAAGGAGTTTATTTTTATATGGGTTTCATGATCCCAATTTTACTAAGTAATATTTTATTTTGGAACAGTCTGAGTTTATAGTATCTAACCTAGATTACATAACATGATTTAATTTGGTTCCGTACTGCTGATTTCTGCAATTGAGAATAAAATTCTACATTCAACTCTACTTGTTAATTCCTTTCATAAACCGCAGGTTGAGAACTGCTGATTTCTGCAATTGAAAATAAAATACTATGTTCAACTCTGCTTGTTAATTCCTTTCATAAACAGCAGGTTCAGTACTGCTGATTTCTGCAATTGAGAATAAAATTCTACTTGTTAGTTCCGTTCATAAACAGCAATAATTCTTTCAAGATTTATTACTTTAATCAACATGGATAAATTTTTTGGATGTGATTCACGAACTTTATATCCGTATAATTTTTAATTATATAATTAAATTTTGTCAATAAAGATTTTTTTCTACTTCCCGTAACCTTGATACTGAATATATCGGTTAATTTTAGAATATATTAATCATTATGCATCAATATACAGTAAAAACTGCCAAAATGACCTTTATCATTAAGAAACAAATTATTCCTTACATTAAATGGGCATAAAACCCTTGAAATCTGATCACTTGTTTATCTTTTATGTTGATATAAATCAAATTTGCCTAACAGTAATATTGAATGCTATACTAAATCCTTCATAATAGAGTTAATAAAAAAAATATTTTTTGAATAATTTAAGGCAATTAAGTTATGTAATTAGAACTTCACTAAATTGGTGAATTAGAATTGAAAACTAACTTACGCTCTGTTGAGTATTGACCATACAGGAAAATATTAAGTGCCTTTGTTAAATAATTTGCAAGGTAAAAAACCGAATATGCATAGATTTTTTCAAAAAAATTGAATTTAATATTAGATTTGCGTATATTCTTTTATTTATTAAAGTATTTTAAAAATTCTTTTCGGTAATGATTCTAATTTTAATACTATATAAAATTTTAAAAGCATGTTAAAAAATTAAGTTCTTAATCTATATTCTATAATTTGGTTAATAATAAGAAGATTAGCAATAAGAATGATATAATATATGATTAAAAGGAAATTAACACATTCCTTCTGTTCATGTTGATCAACTATCTAAGTGACTACAAAAGCAATGAATTACATTTGGTCAAATTGTTCAGGTTTCACTATAATGTATATTGAAATTAAGTTTATCTCTAAAGCATTCATAAAAGAAAAATAAATTTTGTTAGCTCCACTTAATACCTGAAATTTGTGACAGAAAGCATAATAGGTTTGCATTAGTTTTCTGAGTTACTAATTATAGTTTTTTTGTAGTCAAGCCTGTTTGGAAAAAAAAAAGCCTCCTACCTTCACAGTTTTTTTTTTTTTTTTTTTTTGCAAAACCTGTTTTAAATAGTGCTTCATAATAATAATTATTTTTTTACCCGAAATAATCTCTATGTTAACCAATTTAAAAATAGGTTCAAAGATAGTGGAAAGTTCCATTAATATGATGAAAAAAAATAAAAGTAGAACTAATGTATTCCGTATTTTTATCGCATCTATAAATTGTTAAGACTAAATTAATGCTACAACTGAAAGTTCGAAATGAAGTTAAGTTTGCAATTCAAAAAGTTAAATAAATTGTTAAGATGTTTATGGAAATAAAGGCATAAGTCATAAAAAATTGAGTTATTGCAATTTTACTCCACTGAATGAAAATATTGTTCAATCACTTTCTTTTTATTTTCATCGGTCAAAACAATTATAACTTTGAAATTTTTTTTAATTACGCCCTTTAGTTGCTCTTTCAAGCATGAGAAGTCTTGCAGTCCAAAGCAAATGAGAAGAATCTCCAGAAGTGGAGAGCGTCTTAAAATAAGAATTACGAGCATGTTTGAGGGCAGAACAGTTTCACAGGATGCTCGCCATGTCTACATGTTCCTTACATAAAATGCAGTCAGTAAGCTGTAAGATGCAGACAAAAGCTATAACAAATTTAACGTTATATCCAGGGTGCAACACGAGGAGGCCTGTTACACTACACCAGAGGTCGCCAAAGTGGTCTATATAGACCCCCAGGGGTCTATTTAACATAAGCGGGGGTCGATCTGAGTCAGGGGGTCGATCCGAACCGGAAGGGTCGATTGGTTGAAGGATTATCAGTATTTTTCAGATATGTGACAATTAGAAATAAAAGAAGAAGACNAGATATAAATAATAATAAAAAAAAANAAAGTTTCAAATTAAAGGTAATTTGCAAATTAACCAAACTTGCACTTCAGATTAAAAATAAGGGAAATAGCTAGATCAGTCAAAAATTAAAAACTGATTTACCTTAATACCGTATTAAATTTGAAAGTTTGTTTTGGATTTCAATTAGCGATTGTGTTAAACAGGTTGTAATGCAAAATCTGAGAAGACTGATCACCTTTTCTAATTATAAAAGCAATTTGTCTTTACATATTTCCTGAAATCCGGGTTAATAAAAGCAATAAAAATACCAATAAAGAAGAAGTATAAATAAATATAGAAAGTAGATAGAAGAATAAGAGAGAAAAAGAAAGGAAAATTTTTTACAGAAGGCAAATTTTGGACATAAAAAAAAGAAAGAAATTTTTTCGGATATTTTGCTATTAAAGTGATAAATATGTAAGGTAAATAATAAATAAAGTGAATGAAGACAATACTGAAATCTTGGACTTCAGAATAACAACCAATGCGTCATTTTTTTTTATTTTATTTTTTTTTCAAACAAGGTAAACAATACTCAAGTCTAATTTCAAATTGAAATTTTTCCTGTAAAACTGTTTTTTGCATTTTGTGTTTTACATTTTAACTTACACATTTTTAAAAATGTTTACAAATTTTTTTATCATGATTGAAGAGTTAACTTAAATTGTGTTATTATGAAGAATACTTTTTATGGTGAAAAAACCGTAATGTGATCTTTAAACAAGATACTTTTGAAACTGAAAATATTGTTAAGTCAAAAAAATTGTTGAAAATGAAAATCTTAAAATTGCTGATAATGCTACTGCAGATTTTTGATTGTGTCAAAATTTTTACCATGAGAGCATGCATAAATGTTTTATAATTCATTTTACTTTTATATAATGTTAACATTACAAATTTGAAATTTTTTTTCATTTTAATTGTATTTCTACCATAGGGAAGATTTTGCAAATAGATAATTTTTAAAATTTTTGATTTGTAACTAAGCATTTTTGGCGAGGGGGGATGAAACATAAAAAGCTTCTATTAATCTTTTTATGTTAGTTTCTTTGCTATAAAACAAATCCTACTTTATTACTAATTAATTATTCAAATCGAAATACTTTCTCACTTCTTTAATTACTTTAATTAATTACTTCTTTAATTATAATACATTTTTAACATCTTCCAATTTTTAAAGCATTGAATATTTTTTTCGCATCATCATATGGAAAATGTTCTACATCTACTTTTTCATCAGCTATTCTCATTAGGTTGCTCAAATGCGTGCTTGTTTCGTTTTGATCGTTTCTACCCACATTTGTTTCATTTTCATTTGTCCGTTTCGGAGTAGAAGATATAGCCTTTACAAGGTATTTGTCCATCTTACATTAAAGAGCAAAAAATTTGAACTTCTTACATGGAGAAACCTTGCCTACGGTAAACACGTGGTTGCAGAGAAATGCGTTCTGAAAGAGGTTCCGAGGGATGGTGTTCTGTTGTTCTTAAAGGCTCTGAACAATACTGGAAGCTAGATAATGGGGCAGATGTTGAAAATAATGAAAGATCCAGGAAGAAAAGTGAAACGGATTTCATTCTAAATGGCGCAATGAGAATTTTTTTTCAAAATGCAAGAAATTCGCGAATTTTGAAATTGGTTTATAGAATGCGCGAATTTCTCGAGGTAATCATTTTTTAATGCGAGAAAAGAAAAAAATGTTTGAGATTCTCGCGCTGTAGTGAAAACACTGCAAGGAGATCAGTTTTTTTAAAATAATTATAAAGAATTATTTATACAGAGCTGAAAACTCGAAAAACATTTTTCTATTTTATTGTATTGAAGAAATGGTAAAGAAGAAAGCAGTTATGGCATTTTTTTGGGTTCATTCATTATAAATCTTTACATAATTAGAAAAATCATAGAAGCAAAAAATAAAAACTAAACTTAAATTTTTTTTAAAAATAATTATTTAAACTAGGCTTTCAAATGCAAAATTCCTCACTTCTTAGAAGCACTAATCGTAAGTAATTGTACATAAAAAAAATATAATCATAAATAGACTAAATATTTAAAAGAAAAAAATTTCTTAGTTGCTATTGTTCTTAAGAAGGAACTTCAAAAAAGAGAAATTAGATAAATTTCAATTCAAAGATAAAAATTTAGACTCCTGGGTGATTCCACTTTGTAAGAGCACTGCAGAAGTTAAATTTTTAAAAAAAAGTCCCAGAAAATGTCTTCTTCTTTAGGGCAGTGTTTCTAAACCTGGGGGTAGTGTTGAAAAATGAGAGGGATTGTGAAATTAAAAATAACAGACATATAAATTAATAAAAGCTCTTCACTTACTCAAACTAAAGAGAAAAAAAACAAAACTTTAAAAAATTACAGTACAAGTTAGTGTTGTATTACAATATTAAGTGATTCTCAAAATAAGAGACTTTTTAATAAAATCTTAAAATATTATTTTTAGCAAAATTAAAAAAATATATATATAGCAGTTGTAGTCTTTACCTGTAGTCAGCAGAGCTAAATATTCAAAATTTTTTTTAAAAAATAGTTAAAATTTCATGCGCCACACTAATGACAATTAAGCCAGGTCAATGACAATCGGACCATGCTAACCATGGTGGTTCAGAGGATAGAGCGCTCGCCTTCCAAGGAGGTGACTCAGTTTCGAATAATTGGTCGATTTGAATTCTGCATTTGGGTCGCACTGACCACAGTGTTTACGTAAAATATCCTCATATCATGGGCTAGAATCCATTTGCTGTTAGGCTAACCATAGGGGGTTTTCATGTTTTTTTAGAATAGCCAGTTTTTAGAAATATTTAAAATAAATAAAAAACTGAGTAACCACTGCTAAAAAAACTAAAATGGTAAAGTTGAAAAAAGAAAAAGGGAAATAGAAAAATATCCTCATAATTCTTAAAACAAAACTTTAATGCTAAAAATAATATTTTCTAGAAAAACATTATCCATAAAATGTTAAGAGAGAGATAATCTATAAATATACAGTGCTATCACAAAAGCGCCCATAAAAAAGATTATATATAAAAGTTAAATAGAATAAAATAAAAATCGATCCTAATTTTTGAAAAAAAAATTTAAAGTTAAACATATCAGTGTTCCAATTAATGTATTTTCAAAAAAAAAATTAATAAAGTCTAATGCAAAACCTTTTAATTGCGATGTCATAATAAAAACATTAAAAAAAATAAATGATTAATTAAATGATCAAACAATTTGCTTATATTTGGTATAATTTTAAAGGAAATTTATTGTAATTTATGAATTCAGGAGTTATTTTTAGGTGTTATTATAGTAAAATTTGTAATAAGTAGAGAGCATTCATTATTTTGACTTATTCTGCCAAAAAACCAAAACGAAAATCGTTTTTAATTTAAAAAAAAAAAAAAAAAAAAAAAAATTAAGCATTAAAAATCTCAATTAAACTTTTTTACATTGCCCATATTTTTTGAAAAAAAGTGACCATAAAAGTTCATTAGAAACGCTCTTTAAAAAATGCTGTGTAATAATAAAAATGCTGATAAAAAGAGAACTTAATAATAAAAAAAAAAGCAAAAGTGAAACAGAAAAAAATTGTTCTCAGTTCTAAAATGTAACACTGAAAATCACACTTTTCTAAGTTACCTGTCTTACCATACAGGAAAAAAGTGACAATAAAAAATAAAGTCTATAAGAAATGCTCCGTTATAATCCTGCAGAACAAAAAACAGCGAAAATGAAACAAACTAAAAAAAGTTCTCAATTCTTGAAAGAAAAAAAAAGTGTTGAAAAGATGATAAAATAGACACATTTGATTGTAATTTAAAAAAAAAAATCAGCAGTACATAACTTATAATTCAGTATAAAGTAATCTAGTTTCAATTTTTCTAAGTTTTGCTTTTCCATGTCTTTTAGAACTTAAAAAATATTTGTAAAACTGAACAATATGTATTTCTAATAATGTGCTGTTTTAAATTATTCTTTATTAAATCTATTCAAATTCTCCCAAAAAAAACATTGCTGAAAAATACTTTTCCAAAAAATACATTGCCGAATATTTGGCCTGGCCAAACGATTGGCCAACCGAATATTTGTTACATCCCAAGCTTAAATCGAATACTTTATTTTTAAAGTAGTTATTAGTTGTTCAATTCAAATTTACAAAACACTATAATAAAAAAAATTCTTATTGATTTTTTAAGCTTCAAACTTTATTGTTGCATTACTAATAATTAGGAACACCACATAAGTTCTTGAGATGTAATAAATAGCAGCATTAAGAAATAACTGTTTGAAAATCTTCAAATTCTTTAGAATTTTTGAGAAAGTAATTTAAGAGTAGTGAAAATTTAAAGCAGTTTTTCATGTATATTTATACACCTGTTAGAAATAGTTTTTAGTAAGAATTTTTTTGCTAACTTCATGATGGCCAAATTAAAAGTTTTTGTATCCTTTAAAGACTTACTATGCCTAAAAGAAACTATCATGATAAAGCATATAAGATAGTTGTTTAAAATATAAACTTAGATTACTTTTTCTAGCAAATTTCTTTTTTAAGTTAATGATTCAGCTATATTTTTTAGAAAGATTTGCGAACCTTTAGACAAGGCAAGGTGTAAGACAACACACTTTAATTTACTATTTTAAAAATTAAAAAGTCTATAAAATTAATTTAACAATTTGTTAATTTCAGCCTGTTTTTAATTAGTCTATAATAACACAGTATTATTTCATTTTTGATAAATTTCAAACATGCAATTGTCCACATTACACATAATAATGAAACAATTTTTAATACAGTGAAATTGTTTAATATGTATTGTTATAATTTTTTTTCAAGAATGTTTCAATCAATAATGAAATTGAATAAATTACAAACTATAGTTCATAAAAGTATCTTTAAGAAATAATTAAACCAACGTAATTTTTTTTCTCTATTTTTTAAAAAAAAACATGATTTTTGATTATGGAGTTGCAGGAGTGAAAAGGTTGAGTAACATTGCTTTTAAGCCATGCTAAATCAGTTCTTATGTAAAATACAGATAGTTTACAATTCTTCATATGCAAATGTTTTACCATATTTATTACATGGATATTACTTCTTTTAAGTTTGACTGCAAGAATTTTAATTTAAAATCTTGCATGAATTTTACATCAAATATTACATACAGTTCTTGCTTTCAGCACTAACTGCTTAAGACTTCTATATTTAATGTTTTTGTTTTAGCATGAACTCTAGAATGTTGCAATAAATATCTTTTTTGCTTAAATGATTTATTACATATGCTGCATGAAAAAGGCTTGGACTCAGTATGAATGCTACAATGTTTAGTCAAATTACTCTTCAATGCAAATACTTTATTGCACACATTGCATGAATAAGGTGTCTCTCGAGTATGAACAGTGGAATGTTGAACTAAATTGCTTTTAAAGGCAAATGTTTTATCACATACATTACATAAATAAGGTTTTTCTCCAGTATGAAGAACATAATGTTGTTTTAAGCTTCTTCTATAACTAAATGTTTGATCACAAACAGTACATGAATAAGGTTTTTCATTAACAAAAGAGAGTTTATTTAAATTAGTTGAGTCAAATGTTTTTTCGCACACAAAAGGTTTAACAGCAGAATGATTCTGATTATGTTTATCTAAATTATCTCTTCGTGTGAATGTTTCATTACACACAAGGCACGAATAAGGTTTTTCTTTAGTATGAACTTGAGTATGTTGAACTAAATGACTTTTGTTGGTAAAGGATTTTTCACACACATTGCATGAGTAGTGCTTTTCTCCAGTATGAATCTGAGAATGTTGAACTAAATTGTTTTTTAGAGCGAAATTTTTTTCACACACATCGCACGAGTAAGGTTTTTCTCCGGTATGAACTCGAGAATGTGTAACTAGATTATTTTTGAAGGTAAAAGTTTTTTTACACACATTGCAGGAGTAGGGTTTTTCTCCAGTATGAACTCGAGAATGTTGAACTAAATTAGTTTTTAAGGCAAAAGTTTTTTTACACACACCACATGAAAATGGCTTCTCTCCTGTATGAGTTAAAATATGTATTTTTAAGCCATTTTTGTCTGCAAAAGTTCTGTCACAAACACTGCATGAATATGGCTTTTCGTTGCTATGAACAAGACGAGAATGTCGAATTAAACTTGCCTTCACCGTGAAAGTTTTATTGCACACAGAACAGAAAAATGATTTGCTTTTACCAAGAATAACTGACACCGTGCAGCTGTTCATTTATAAAGTGTTATAACACACATTGCTAGAAGAATATTCTTTAGGATGAGTAAAAAAGTATTCTTTAAGTTGATTGCACAGTAATTGCTTCTTCATACACATTGCATTTACTCATATTAATACATGTGCAAAGGTTCCTTGCATCTAAGAATATATTTCAGCTGAAATAGACAAAAGGTTTAGTCAAATAAATTACTAATTGAACTTGTAAATTTCTCACTTTCAACAGAATCAATATTTACATTCGTTAGCTAACGTTTCCGGCTCTCTATTTCTATGCTACTCTTAGTTCACAAGTTCATAAATGAAATAGATGGTTTTTCTGCACAAGGGGGCGCTGCTAGCTCTTGACCGCCTATACTTCCGAGTTACTGCTTTTAATGTGTTTTAAAGCCACTTGGCTCAGAACGTGATCATTGTATTTTGAGACTTTCCTGAGTAGTATTTATTCTATACGTGTATTTGTTAACTGATTTTTCATTTGCGTTTAAAGAAAGGATCGTCATGAAAATTGTCATTGGAAGACCTGTTATTCTAAGGCGTGAGAACTGTCATTTAAAAAAAGAATCGTTATAAAACACTTCTTTAAACAGTAACCCGGATTACTACTTCAAACTGAGTCTCGCACCTAATCATGAAAAAGCATGCCATATAATGTTATACTTGTAGTGTTTTCATTAAAACGCGTTCCTTCAATTTAACTTTCAACGAGAAAACAACACCAAATAAATTCGGAACAACTCCAAAATAATTTGAAAATAATTCGAAACAACTACACAAGTTTACTATGATGCTGTCCAAAAAATTACAAGCATCGCTATTATATATACAAATACAGCCAAATAATAGATAACACTCAAAACATGGCCACCGAAGTATACCTTAATATTAGATAACCTCCAGAAAACCAGAGAAATCTAACGTTATTTTGCATAACTTTCGAATAATAGAACGATACAACTGTCACTGTTTTCTCAGCATTATATAAAATTAGATTCCATACAAGCTAATACGATCTAGCGTCAGCGGGTAATATCATTTTGCATTGGCTTTTATGCTATATAATATAAGATTTTTTATTTTCTGTTATTATCTTGATTCGTTTTTTATTTTTTTGAATAAGTAAGAGAAAGATTTGGATGGTCGTAGAATAATTCAGCGATATAATTTTTCTTAATTTTCTGTATTGTTGTGAATCAGTAAAACGTAGAATAATAGTTTTGTAATGTCTTTCCTTGCATTATTTACTTTGCAATACAGAAATAATAAAATTTTATGATCGAAATCTGATACCATCTATTTACCTACCTCTTATTCCAAAGTATTTCTTGCTTTTAATTGATTTTTTTGAATGAATATTTTAATTCTGATTAAGAATAAATACTTGAATAGCAAAACTTTGATTGAAATTTTTTCCCTTTATATAATGAGTTTTCTGATGAAATTTAAATAATTAACTATTTTAAGTGATTTATTTCAAATGTATTCCTAATTTTTTTCTTGAAATGAGCCAATTTTATTAAAATCTTAATTGAATTTGTAAATTTATAACACATGTTCTATAATAGTCATTACTTTAGACATTTGTAATTTCACAATTATCAAGCATTTATATTACGAAATTATGTAATAAAAACCACCTTTTTTAATTGTTTTAATATCGCAAATTTGTTTACAGACAATTATTTTTATCTTTATCATTGTTACAGAAAATTCTGTCATGGGTGAATGACTAAGCAAACGTTGATTTACAAGCATATTCTGAACCAGTACTTATCATTTATATCTAGATAATACGTTTTAACAGAGAAGTCAATTACTAAGCGCGAACTAAATACAGTCGTCCCCATTTAATTGCATATCGGATAATTGAATAACCCTCTTATACGAATAAAATTTAGTAGAACCAAATCATTTTATATGAAACTAATGTTAAATTCCTCGTTTAAATGGATATTTGTTATTTCCAGTCCTCGCTTATTTGCATAAAGAAGAGGTACTGAAATGAAAAGAATCTGTTTATTTTTAAGAAATGTTTCACTAGCCACCATGAAATTTTCAGTTAAGAAGATAAGAATACAATAGGTGGTCACTTCAATATGGACTTCCTGTTAATAGCAAATAGCAAACTGAAATAGCAAATTAATTTGAAATTTCTCAAATTTCGAGAATAAAAAAAAAATAAAAATTGAAATTCTTCAAAAGAAATACGCAAGTTATGAAAGTCTTAGTAAAAGAAGAAAGGGAAAATCGAATTTTGATAAATTAACGAAATAAAGGTATAAACACAATGTTCAAATACAGATTTTTTCGAAAGGAACACAATAATATTATAGTACCTGTATTACTTTTTTCATTAACGTAGATTTACCTTTATATAACTTTAAATGGCATTTATATTTTATAATAATAACACAGATACTTTAAATTATAATTGTTTATTGATCATAAAATTGAGTTTACTTATAAGATAAAACGCTGTACTATGCATCAGATATCATTAAGAAGTAAAATTCGACTGAATAATGCACTCCTCTTAGTTAACTTTCCTCGAATAACCCTCTTAGTTGAATAGTATTGACTGGAACCAATGGTATTCCTTTAAGCGGGGTTGGCTGTGTTAGTAATGAACACAGATAATAATAATTTAATGATCCTGTATCTACTGAAGTCAGTAATATCTACTGACTTTTCTAGATACATGATCATTAAATTAATACTTAAATGCTTTGTACAAACGATCAAGATTAAGTACGTCTGAATGTTTCTATTACATCCTCCTCTCTAACACATGCTTTGAAGTGCTTTATGTTACTTTTCTAGCTGAATTTTAAGTGAAGTAAAAAACATTACCTACTATACTAATTTGATATTTTAAGTAACTATTATTGAAATTTATAAAGTTAGATAAAAATTTATTGAATTATAAATACCCTTGAAGTTGAAGTGATTCATTCTAGCTGCCAATCTCGAACAATATAGCTATGTAAGCAATCGTGAAGAAATTACAGTTCAACAGTTGAAAAAAAAATTTCAGTTCATTGTTCGCGAACCAAATTTACTTCCACTAATATTTTTTTGCTTTATGGAAAATTTTAATTTAATTTTTTCTTCCACAAATAAATTTTTGTTCATTATTAATGGTGCTCTTTCCCAAAAGAGTGGCCCCAGTCCTTAATTAATGAAATATACGATAATTTTAAAAGTTCGAATGTTTGATCGAATACTATTTAATTTTACATAATATTGGGTCTAACATTAGGAGATAGGATTCAGGAATCTAGCTTTTTCTAGTATGGCAGTATTATATTGCACTTTTCTAATATTAGATAAAATCGTTCTGCTACCTGGTAAACCTTACACTTTATTTTTATTGTGATTTTGATTCTCTTAAATTTGTTTATGGCTCACGAGCTGTTAGAATTTATAAATTACAGAAAACTCTTATGAATGGTAAAATTACGCATACATTTAAACACAAATCACAATAATAAAACTTCCTATAAAATTAAGTCTGCTCAAAGATAGCCTCGTAAGCATAACATAAACGGAGGGATACACCGGAAGTTATTTAAATTTCTTCCGATTTCATTAAGTTTGTTATTGTTTACATTCAGTCAACCATCTATATTTTTATTGTATACGGTTGGCACAAGGAAATTAGGTATTATTAAAGCTCCTCTAGAGGCTCTAGGTAATATGAGAACCTTGATTGGTGGAATATATTGCGTTACGCTATGGTTTCATGTTAACGTTAGAGCCCCTGAATTAGAGTATGGGAGAATTAGTTAACGTCAACGCAAACCATAATTGAGCTTTATTGCGCATGAGCGAAAATTAACGTTAAAAAGATAACGTACGCCATTAAATACAGATTTTGCATTACGCATTTAACGCTAATTTACGCATTACGCCATTTACGCATTAAAACATTTAACGCTATTTCTCGAGCTTTCTCTTTGTGTACCGTTTGTTTGCGTTTTTGAAAGCTTTTGTTTTTCTTTATTTTCATATAATTTATTTTTTCATTTATATTCATTACTCTTTATTTTAATTTTTCTCTATTTTCATTAATATTCATTTCATTAATCTTTATTTTCATTATACTTAATTTCCATTCTACTTTTCAAAATATGAATAATTTGTTGGAATTGGCGATGTACGATGGTATGGATGAGGAGGTAATAAAGGAAACACTTTAGCTGCAATTGCTGCAAAATATCAAGTAACAAAATTGATTAATCACGGAATAGAATTTGGTAACAGATCGTAATTTATATAAAAAAATAAGCTATGTACTAAAAATCAAAACTTATGGAGAAATGGTACTAATTCTATTAAGAGAAACGTAAAAAAATCGCCAGGTTATTATTGACGCCTTTGATACTTAATTAATTTCAGTGATAGGTTCTAGTTGATATAAAAAATGATCTTTGTACTAGAAAGTTAGCTAAAAGAATAAATGGTCTAATTCATTTAAGAAAAACGTAAATAATCACCATAACATTATTGAACTACTTCTAAAGTAATTTAGAAGAGAAGACAGGTACGAAAAAGTAATTGTAACTCCTTAGATTTTAATTTTATTGAAAATGTAAAGATAAATCTTAAATGAAGCTTATTCTAATTGCAATATATATGTACTACTATACTCACTTTGATCAATTGCAGAGTGCAGTAATTTTAAAAGAAGTTTTTATCTTTCAGTGCAGTAATTTTTATAATAATAATTTTTCGTTCAATGCAGTAATTTTTTCAATACTGTGAAAATATTGATTTCGTAACAGAATTACTATTTCTGTACTCGGTTCAGCGAGAACAAAAAGCGAAAATTGCGAAGCGAAGTCACCTGACATTCGGCATAAGTTTCAACTGATAACACCAAGGTCATAACCATAACTATCAGCGTTAATATGAATAATAGTCAGTACAGAAAGAATCGCCGACTCATTGAGCAATTGGCGGAAGTAGGTAATGTTGACGATAAACTGCAAACCGTAACCTTTAATTTCCACTATCATTTCTCGCCGAAACAAAAGTTTAGTAATAGTGGTTTTATAATAAAAATTTTTTTTTCACAGTCTTGCACTCTTATTTTAAAATTATCGTTATCTGCAATCGATTAAAATAAAAATGGGAGTACAGAGGGCAAAAAAGGACCGCCCTGAATAACTTTTGATCTAATGATCGGATCTTGGCATTCTGGGACTCAATCTTAATGATTCGAAAAGGTGATCTTAAATACGTTAATTATCAAGAACAGACGATATTTTAAGTTACGA